ACTACTTTCCGTCTTTTACTTACAGACTTATTGATATACAAACCATCTGTATGCTTGGATTCACTTTCAGTAGAAGAGTTGATACCCAGTAACAGAACTTAGTTAGCAGCTCTGTTGTAGCCGGGATTTGAAAGGTTTTTTGTTGTTTTGTTTTTTTGTTTGTTTTTTGTTTTTGTTTTTTTGAAGTCTCGATTTCGTACCCCATGAAAAAACACTAGGAGTCACCAGGGTTCTGTGAAGTGTGTTACATTTTCAAAGTAAAAGCTCAGAGATGTTAGAAAACTGATTAGGGTTTGGGAAATATGCTGCCTTTCAAAATGAAATGTACTTATATAAATTATACCTTTTGTCTAATTATAGCAAGAGATATCAACTAGCAGAAGCTGCATTTACACACTTTCCTAATGTTTTTATAGTCTGTAGTCTTTCAAATACTAAAGCATTATAATTTAATGCATTTACTAGAAACTGTTCCCAGTGGAATGTACTACTGTTGCCAGTAATGGTAATGAAATGAGCAATTATTACAATAAACTTGATGTATATGTCACATTTTATACACTAAATGCAGCTTGCTTTAAATTTAAATTAAGAGCCGAGTTTAGTCTGCTGTGAAACTGAAGGTAAAATAACAATTTGGCCTCAGTAGACCACAATACAAAGCAGCCACTGAACACGTTCTGTTATCTTAAATCCACAGCTGAACGGTTCAAGTTCAGGTCTGAGGATTGTCAGAAGCTGTTCTCGGAAATGTAGGAATGCACTAACGGAAACTAAAGTAAACATGGGCGTTTAGGGGTCAATGGGTACATTAAGGAAGTAATTTCTCACAAAGAACGTACAGTATGTAAAACATTCAGCGTCCCACGCTGATCTTTTTTAACAGGATAGGAATGTGTAAGGGTGGATTTTTTCCTTTATCCAGCATTTGTAAGCCTCATGTATAAAAATCTTCGTTTCAAATATATTTGAAGAATCTGTATATGCTTCAAAAGCATTTTCTTCCCACATTGTCATTTACCATCTGGCATCTTTTAGTGTGCAAAACTGATTTTTCCTCAGCATTTGTAGAATAAAGACATATTTGTCATTTCAGACTGTCAGCACTTATCTGTGGAAACAAACATCTTGAGACATGAGAAATGTGGCAGATGCTTCTTGACATCTACTGGTAGACAACAGTGGACTGATGTAGATGTAACAGAATCACAGAGTGTAGTGCTATCACTGATTTTGTGTACTTGTCCTACAGGAGAGGCCCTACAGTACCAGCTGAGCTTCACCACAGCAGCAGGGACGGGATCAGAGCTGTATGACATCGTAGTGCTGGCGACGCCACTCCAGGCCAGTGTTGACTCTGGACTCCAGTTCCAAGGTTTCACTTCTCCTTTCGACGAGCTGCCTGGCAACTATCACAGCACTGTAGCGACCATCGTCCACGGCTACCTCAACACCTCTTTCTTTGGTTTCCCGGACCCACGTCTGTTTCCGTTTGCCAGCGTCCTGACAACAGAGTCGCCTGATCTGTTCTTCAACAGCGTGGCCAGTGTCTGTCCCGTCAACATCTCAGCAGGCTTCAGACGTAAGCAGCCACAAGAGGCTGGGGTCTACAAGGTGTTCTCACCACAGCCACTGGACAAGTCTCAACTCAAAACACTCTTCAGGTCAGCCATTTCTTTCCTGGCAAAGTAATTCCGAAATCAACGACAAGCTGCAGCTAACTAATTTTTTCAGTACAGCATAATTTTCGGATTCTTTCATCACTGTAACATTTGCTTATTATATTAATTTTACATGTTTTGTCTGGACCTCAAATATTTTCAGTTTGCTAAAATATAATCAGCAAATATTCACACTCCAGAGGCTAGAAGCAATACATTTTGACCAATTAGTTGGTTAACAAAATATTTGATAATCCTTGAGATACATTTTGCTAAATATGTGAGATATAACAGCTAAATGCAAATATGCTGACAAGTAACAATGTAAAACCCAGTGATGTTCACCATCTCAGTGGCACACATGCTAACATGCTAATATTTGCTAGTTAGCACTATACACAAAGTACAACTTTAACTTTAAGGAATTAAGTTGTTTTTTTGTGTTTTTTTTTTTTCATAAACCAAAGCACTGGATAAAGTCAAATTTTGACCTGATGATGGCACTCGCTGAAAGGTTTAGGGATCACTGAAATTTTACAATTAATCCAGAAAGGAACATGAGCATGTGAACCAAATTTCACAGTGACCCATTCAACAGTTATCCATGAATGTTAAGACATGTCAGAAAAAAAAGATAATTACAATGTCATGCCAGAGGTAAAAGATTTACCCAGATCTTGTGACCTAGTGTAACCGCTAGGTAGCTTGTGAGGTTCCTCTCTGGACTCAGTAAGATTTTACATGTAATATTATGTAATAATTGATTTTTATTTTTTTTACTATATTTGTATTATTACACTAATTCTGCAGAGGAACAAAACGTAATAAATACATGTTGTGGAGTAAAAAGTTTAATATTTAGCTCCTAACTATAGAGGAGGAAAAGTAAAATGAAAAGTAAAGTACAAGTAACCCATATAGTGTGTGAGCAAATGTATATAGTTACTCTCTACCACTGCCAACTGGTAGAAATAATCACAACTAATCAAATCATAGGGAGTGCAATGTGAAGTAAGACAAATTAACTCAAAGATGTCTTGCTACAGCTCTTTTTGTTGCTTGATACAAAAAGAAAACTCACATGGTTCTCATTTTCCGTGACTAATCTACAAAAGAAGTCTGTCTGAACATTATTTACTCCAATTTAATGGCTATTGGATACACTGAGTTCTTTTCATTTTTTCAAACATTGTTCCCAAGACACAGAGTCGGTGGACATGCAGTCACCACATTTGCGGAGCAAAATCAGCGAGGAACACGTGATAAATGCTGAAAAGAAAATGTGGTCGCAAAAAGAAGTGCGGTGTCAGTTGTATGGATTTAAATCATTCAAATCAGCAACACAAAGCCACAACAAATAGAAGTACAATCGTGACTTGGTAATCCGACCGTTACCAATCTGAAACCTTGCTATCCGACAGTTGTTTAGGAAAAACGAACGGAACCCATTAAAAACATCCTTAACATACTGACAGCCTTGGATTCCGACTCCGACATGACATTATATGTCACAAATAATGGCGTATTATCTGACTTAACAATCCGACAGATTGGCTACGTTCAGACTGCAGGACTTAATGCTCAATTCGGATTTTTTTATGAAATCCGATTTTTTGCGAGTTCATTCACATTTCCAATTAAATACAACATGTATGTGATCTACTGTGTGGACTTCATACGACCAAAAGTGTCCCGCATGCGCAGAAGAGGACATGACGACGTCATACGCAGCAAGCGTGCTCAGTGTTTATGTAAGTAAACATGAATGGTAACGATGGAGCGCATCTTGCCTGCCACTCCCCCGCTGCCGCCACCGATGGTGGAAATAGAACTGTGACCGCTAACTTAACTGGCATCACTGGCATTTCTCTAAAAGCAGGTTTTCCTTTTTTACTGTACCTATTTTAGGTCATACTACTCGGTGCAGGTGACGGAGTGGCAGGCCTACCCTCGCTATGGCAGCAGCCAGGGACTGCCTCCGGTGGAGCTGCACCCGAACCTTTACTACCTCAACGGCATCGAGTGGGCCGGCAGTGCCATGGAGATGAGCTCGGTGGCTGCCAAGAACATCGCCCTGCTGGCCTACCACCGCTGGAACAGACAGACGGACATGGTGGACCAGAGGGATCTGATGCACAGGATCAAGACTGAACTATGACCTGGTCACCGCGAAGCCAAGGAAAGTATGTGTGAAGGATAGAATGGAACATGTCTGCTGAATTTTGAGCCGGAACATATTAAGACGCAGGGCCTACTTAAGTATTCTCCAGTATATTTAGGGCACATCCATGTAACACATTGCTTTTACTACGAATATCTAATTTACCGACTCAGTGATACACCATCTGGCCCTGCAGTCTCCTAAATATACAAACATGGTCAAAAATTTAAAAAAAAACCCAAATCAAATCAAATTCATTGTAATGGCACCATTAAAAGCGAATGTGGTCCTGCACTCCTGTCCAAAGGCCAGTTTGATTTTGCTGATACTTTAATTCCATGTGCCAGTGGCATTGCAGATAAATGAGACGTGTTGCAGTTTTGGTTGGGATCCGTTGCCAGTGCTAATTGGTGGTTTCATCCAAAAATTCTGCCGCAGGAAGCTTTGCTTTGCCAAGAAATAAGAAAACCAAGCAACCAGCTGATGGATATTGTGGCTAGTGAATGGACTGCTCGGAGGCTGTTTGTTGAGTTGAAGTCCGAGCTTACTGTTACTGCTCTGTGTAAATATATGATCCTGAATCCAAGCCAAGAAAACGCACACACAAAAAAAAAAACAATGCAGCTTTCAGATATTAGAGAAATCAGTGCAGTCACTAATTTAACTCCACTTTTAGTCTGTCATCTAATCAGAACTGCAGCACTGCTGTTACTGTGGTAAACGTAAGGACTGTTAATGGACTTTCTGTTGGCACCAGTGAGATCTCATTAAAGTAATCTCAGTGGGATTTTTGTAAATTAATAAAATAATTATTCAGTGACTCATGGTGGTGGCCACTGGTGCTATGCTCTATTGCCCCTTTCATCAGACTATTTCATTATCTCCCCTTCCTGCTGCTTTTGTTGCGTAATCCGGCGGAAAGAATTTTTTTCAGGGAATGGAGCCAAACAGCTTTCACACTGGACTGAATAAAAGCAGAGGACAGATCCGTGGTGCTGCTGTTGGTGGTGGTGATGACACTTGTATTTCCCCTTTTCTCTCAAGCCTTAAAGCCTTGTTGAGATCCTGCTTTTCTAATAAGGATGGCAGTCTTGCACAAACATGTATAAAGATGGAGTTGGACATTCGCTTCCAGAAATGGCAAGAAGAGTTAGAGAGATGGTGTGACGACACAAGAAGAAACCACTGACAGTTGATTAAACTTGTAAGACTTTGCGAAATGCCTTGTTTTATTTATATATCATTTATAGCAATGGATTTAAGCTGAAGTGGGTTCAGAAAAACTTTTGTGTAGTGAAAACCTTGCCACTCCAAAGGGCTTCAGTTGATGGACATTATGATTGTCTCAAGTGGTAGGAATTCACCACGTCCTTCTTAAAATGAAGAACCTGTTTTAAAACTCTGCTGTGGTCGAGCTGAAATGAAGACTGCTCACCTTAAGGTCTGAACAGCCGACTTCTTTCTGTTTTGTTTTTTTCCAAAATTAGAGGTTTCAAGGTCAGTAGCAGCTTCTGTACATAGAACAACCAAATATTTGTAGCAATAGTACCTTTATGATATGCTGCAAAGAAAAAAAAATACACAATTCAGATGCACGCCAAACAATCCCAACTCAAAGTTCACTTTCAGCAGATTTCAGCTGTATCACAGTTGTCGCTCAGTTGTCATGAAGCTGGATCCTGCAGCGCCTTTTAGATTTCTCATCTGTGTAGAAATGCTTGTTTGAAAGTAGTGTGATGTAGTTGAAAGTTCCAGATTAGAGTAGTAGGTACATTTTGAGTTGAGATTATTTTGTTCAGCTCTTCTTTTCTAGATCTGATTGAACTTTTCTGTGTGACTTTTGAGTGGCAGTACAGGTACAAGTTTTAAGATTTAAAGATGTAAAGGCATGTATAGTTGTATCATTTAAATGGCACACATGCAAAAATAAAGATACAGACAGTTTATATATCAAGGGAGTTGGGTGAATGGTTAGTGAAGAACGTCTAACAATGTAGAAGGACTTCATTCCAAGGGAAAGTCCTGCATTTAAGTAATTTTCAAAATATATTTCAAAAGCACTGCAATAAAATGCCCTCTGTGACTGATTTGACTTTATTGGAGTGTTAATGTGTAAAAATGTAAATGCAGCAGTTTCATGGAGCAGCTGGTTGAGGTGGAGTTCATTTCAACTGTTTCACGTACACTTTTTTTGAACTTTTCTGTAATTTATGTTTTGCCTTTTGTGAAATATCAAATCATTTTAACTCTACGAACCTAATTGTTTTAAAGTAATCACACAAAGTGTAATGGGGTAAATATCTCTTAAGTTGAACAAATAGCATAGACATCTGAACAATGAGCAGGTGGCTGAACACTGATTTTAGTTTATTTTTTTTGTTTTTTGTGCGAGGTCATAAGCCAGAAGGTTTTTTTTTTTTTTTAGTGATACAAGAATAAGTTTCAACAGTGCTGTGATTTTATTAGAATTTTTTTTCAAGTAAAACGTTTGCTTCCAAAATGGCTGTGAGAGAAATGACAAAAAAAACAATATTTCTCTCTGAAATGTGGAAAAGAAGTTTAAAGTGCACTTGAGTTAGATATTACCACCTCTTAAGTGTTGTAAGTGTTCACTCTGCATTTATATGCAAATGATAAGGTTGTATCTTGTGTTATTCAAAGTAGTCTTGATATTTCTGAGAGAAAATTAATAACCCAACAGCACTGATGGTGCTGAACATCTGGTTACATTTTAGGAGCTTGAAATGTTCACTTCTGTAACAAGCAACAGAAGTGTGATATTTATTTAAACTACAGACTCTTAACAGCTTGTGCACGCTCATGTTTGACCTTAGAAATAGTATCTTGACAAATCGTCCGAACTCAAGGTCCACTTGCTTTATTTTTTTGTGGAGGTTTCCGCTGCAGCTCGGCGTCCTCACAAACAACCTTCAGTTGTTGTGGACCGACAAACCGACAAACATCTGCTGATAAAGATAATGACATGCAACGAAATATTGAGTTAATCAACAGATTCTGTGTGACTGTTTACTTCTAACCACCGTGCAAATTTCAGCAACGCATGTTCCCACATATTGTATTTCATCTGCTTGATGCGCATAGTAACGCAGCAGTTTGATGGTTTGCATTTTCCTGACTGTTAATAAAATAAAAAGAATTGCATTTTCTTGTATTGTGAATTTTGTTTTTTTTTCCCCTCAGACATTCAGGGTTTTTTTTTTCTCTATTACAAGAAAATTGACTGAAAATGATTTCCCTTTGCTCATGTTCAGGCATTTTTAGTATAAAATATATTTTTCTCACTAGAATGGGGAGAAAAAGAAAAGTTTGAAGTTATGTCTGACTGCATGCTGTCATTGTCATGTTGTACTCTTATTATCATATCACATAAATCTCCCTGACAGTGCAGCTCCTTATTTACATGCTGTTATTTATTTTTCTATCTAAACCCAGAGAAATCACAGTATTTCCAGAAAAAAACTGGTTCTTTTATGTGATCCATGGATGCCCACGTACGAAGATTTAAGACAGATCTTTTTGCTTTTACTGTAGGAAAACCTTTTTTTTAAACATCGTGTGATGATTGAAATGATATGAAATATACTTCACAAAAATATAAATGCAGTGTATAATATTTTTAAAAATATTCTGTATTCTTTTTAACAAGAGGGAATATGTATCCGTGTTCCAACACACAGCATCTCTCCAACAGAATGGACATCCTGAAGCAACTAAGTAAGCATTGTTTTAGAAATGCTAATATGCAGATTGACAGTGGAGTCATTAACCAGAAATCACAGGTTAGTAACAAGTCACACATCCTAATGAGGTTGTTGATGCTGCTTTCATAAAGCTGTTCCACGCTTCCTGAAGGACTCTGTCAAGTTGATCTCATTTTTTAACACACTCATCCAGAGCATCTCATAGACGTTCGGCGACTAACATCTGGAGAGTCTGCGGGCTATGAAAGGACTGGAACATTTTGAGCTGCTACAGAAGGCCAGTGCAGACTCTGGTGACATGAAGACACGCATTGTCTTTTTAAAACGTCAAGTGATGGCAGCAAATGAACAGAGTGACTACGCATGTGGGGCTGTTATCTCGATATCGATGGCCATTGAGATTGCCTGCTGATAAAACCTTGTAAAATGCTGACATCTGCATAAACTTCCCCTTAACAACACCTAATGCCACGTCCACCATCTGTTCTGCACAGCTGAAAACAAGATTTATCTGTGAAAAGGGCCATCCTCCATCTTGCTAGTGTCTAAGTAGTGTGAGTGGTTGCCCACTGGAGGTGCCGATTACAGCGCCGGTCTGCTGTTAAATCAAGGCTTGTCGTGAGCAACGAGATTGAAAACCCGCTTCCCTCATGCGATTCCTCACAGTCTGAGCAGGTGTATTCTGGTTGTGTACACCAACAACTTTATCACCTGTCTCTGTAGCTGATTGCAAAAGCAGATGGATGAGGCAGGGTGTTGACACGTGGTCTCTGGTCGCGGGGCAGATTGCCTGTCTCACGCTGCCTAATCCTTACTAGGGTCGCAGGGGGGGCTGGAGCCTATCCCAGCTGACTTAGGGAGAAGGCAGGGGACACCCTGGACAGGTCACCAGTCTATCACAGGGCTACACTTAGAGACAGACAACCAAGCACACTCACATTCACCTATGAACAATTTAGAATCATCAATTAGCCTCAACATGTTTTTAGACCATGTGGGAGGAAGCCCGAGAACCCGGAGAGAACCCACGCTGCACGGGGAGAACATACAAACTCAACCACCGATCCACCTTGCAGCAATCCAGTTTTATTCATATAGCTCCAATTCACTACATAAGTCATCTTAAAGCACTTCATATGGCAAGGTGAAGACCTTACAAAACTTTAGCAAGAAACCCAATAAATCAAGAGATTCCCTATGAGCAAGTGTTTGGCAGCACTGGAAAGGAAAAAAATGACCTTTAACAGGAAGAAACCTCTGGCAGAACCAGGCTCAGGGAGTGCGGACATCTGCCTCGACTGGTTCTGTTGAGGGAAAAGAAGAGAGAAAACAGACAACGCATAGGAAAACAACAAACACTGGAGAGAGGCCAGTAACTGCAGTTCATCCATTTTGACAGTATTGTGTCGGTGAAGTACTAGTCAAACTGGTCAAAGGTGTCTTTGTGTACTGGTCACACAAGCTCACCATCATCCTTTAAAAGCACAACTGACGAGAGTACAGATTAACTCAGTGATCACAAATTTGTCACGAGCTAAACGGCTCAAAAAGTTGGCCAAGTTAAACCCTTCTCTAAACCTAATAACAAAAATGAACCATTTAATGCTGCGTTTATTTTTTTTGTTTAGTTTGTATTTTCCAGATAACCTAGTGTAAAGTGTGAATCAGCGTTTTAATATATGTGCTGTACTTGTATCATCAAGAAACTCTAAAAGGAATGAAGCCCATCTGCGGGTTGACAACACCGTTGTAAGGTTAGAACCAGTCCTGTGTCTCCTCCTCCAAAACTTCCAAGCAGCAAAAAAAATTATTGCAAAGCCGAAAATAGAATCAGGGGGAATTCAAAGGTGTCCCAAGGCTCTAACATATGACTCAGTTTGGTGGTTTACTTTTGCTCCTTTTACTTTGTTCCCTCTTCCCAATGTGGCTAAACGGGCAAACAGTCGGCAAAGTCAAACTCTTGTAATAAATGATAAAGTGTTAAATATGTATTACTGCCATTAACATAAACTCTGAAAATGTATTATACGTGGAGATTGTCTGCCTTTTTCACCAAGCTTTGATGATCTATCTAAATAACTTTCCTGAGTCTTTTCAGTCTTATCACATCAGTTCAACAACAACAATAAAAAAAACGCCTCCCGAAAACTTTTTTGGTTTTTTTTGAGTAAAGGTCTGAATGAATAAATTCAGTATTCCAACACATTACATACTCACCCCTTCATCAAAAAAAAAATATTATTATTTATTTATTTGTTTATTTGATGGGTATGATGCAGTTTAACATGGTTCTATTACAGAGCACGAACCTGACGGGCTGCACAGAGACTTTATCAGTGTATCAGCTTTAATCCCTAGTTGGGCTTTTTCCACACACAGTACAATTAAAATTTAAAGCTTTCACTCCTATAAAAACCACTATAAATACACTACAGGCATTAAAGTACTATGAAACACTCGTGACAAAATACATTAACTGTGATATGCAAGGGAACATTGCATTCTGACTCACACAAACATACTTAACACACACTCGTCCCACATGCACACAAACCTACAAACAAGAAGAGCTACAACACAACAGAGTCCCTGTTTTAAAGATTCTTTCAAATGATGAATTCTGGGTGATTTTGCAGCTGTGTTCAATATACAGTATAAAGCCCAGGTGCTTCCTTGTTATGGGTGTCTGCCAACTTGTGAAAGTTTTTTTCAGCCTTCAGCTGCAACCGCAAATGTGGTTGACATCTATTTCATTACATATACTGGTCCCAAAGGCCACACAGTAATGTCTACGTTCTAGTGATGCTACTAAAACAGAGAAGGTCTGATAAAATATGTATTGCGACTGTAGGGACTACACTTCTGGAAATATTTCTGTTTCTAATCAAGTCCCCCAGCTTTGTAAAAGTACAGTGCTAAATCACTGGAGTTCCCCTGTAATATGTCGAACGCTCGAACTGTAGTTTGTCCCTCAGTGTGAATACTGAGAACGTCACACAGCTCGAAAGGAAAACGAAACAATATCTGCAGCCTGTTTACCCATCAGCGAACACACTGCGCTTGTTTAATTAATTGTAAAACTTTATGAATCATGTAGAATCAAGATGAGAGCACCAGATGAAAGTGATGGTATAGAGCTTTAACATCTCTCAAATATGCCTGCTGCGTAGAAGTGTTTTTAAAGAGGAATTAATAATGTATTGATTTACTATGACACATAAACAGTAGAAATTCACTGTAAAACGCACAAAACAAGATGAAATGAAACCAAATTACATGTAAATTGACTTTGTTGCAGTGTTACTTCTTTCATTTTTCTGTGATGTTTGAGTGCATGAACAGCAACACAACCTCGAACTGTCCTGTAGTAATGTATTTATATAAGCTTGTGAAATTTTATAGGCATGATCTGTGGTGTCATGTTTTAGATTTCTGACAGGTTTGGACCCAAATGGACACAGTGGAAAGTCAGAACTGTGTGTCCTGCATGAAATGTCAGTTAAAAAAAAAAATGGAGCTTTAATTGAGAACAGTGCTGTTGAATGGGAAAAAAAAAACAAAAAAAAAAAAAACATGAGGTGCTCCAGGGATGCAGTGAATTCCTGTGAAGTCCGATTTCACTAGAAGCTCACCGATTCCACAGAACTGTCACACACAAACACACACACTCGATATTTCATCCCATTGTCCTCTATGTGATCTTCTGCATCACTGGCAGCCTGGCAGACAGATAGATAGATAGATAGATAGATAGATAGATAGATAGATAGATAGATAGATAGATAGATAGATAGATAGATAGATAGATAGATAGATATCTCACATCTTGTGATGTTTGGCCTGAAACAATACAGCTTTCAGACCCTTTACTGTGTTGACTTTCATGTATTTCTCCTGAGTAATAATGAAACAGAAAGCAACATAGTGTTTCAGCATCTCTCCTTTTCAGCCACTTTTCTTTCTCTTAAAGCTTGAAAGAAAAGTCTGATCATGTTTTGTTTTGTTTTTCTTCTCCCAAATAATCTATTTATTTTTCCTTCTGTATGTACAGACTTGTAGTCAGTCCTTTGCTATGTTGACACACTTGGTAGTTTCTCTTTACAGTGAAAGGGGGGGTGGTGGCGACTGCCGGGAACAGCTGCTCATACGCCCCCCGAGAGAATTTCTTTTGGACTCAGCTCAATGGAGACTTTTACTACGTTACTCACTTTACATGAATCACCCAGTTGATTGCTATCTTTTGACAGCCTTTCACTGGCACAACTGTGATGCTGTGAGTATGTCAGACTTTATTTGTTCTTTCTCCATACACATTTAGTTTTTTTTATGCTGTAGATTCTTTGATAACTAACTGAGATGTTTGCTATAATGACTGTTTGATCATGTTTGTTTAACTATCCCATGTATGTTTACTTTTTATTCAGTTTACCACAGCCATGCATGTC